AAGAGACAATAAATAAACAAAAATTATAAATTGAGAAATTAAAAAAATATATATTTTGATGAATTTAACAAATTAATTGATAAAAATATTTAAAAAAATATATTTTTATAGTTAAGGGAATAAAAAATATATAAAAAATTTAAAGAATAAAAATTATATAAAATTTTAAAATTAAGAGATCAAAATTAATATTTAACCTATCAATAAACCTAGAATTAAATTCTCATCATCGGTTAACATTACTCTTATAAAAAATTAATATTTAGTTGGTATTCTACAATTAAAAATTTGTTCTAAATTTCTTTAAAAAAATCTACAGTTGTAAATTCATTATCCTTCTTTAACAAACAATAAACCTTTTTAGAAGAAAAATCTCCCTTCTTAACCCAAATTCGTCCATCTTCTACATGTCTAAATACTGACATTGCAAAATGCAAAATTATACTACATAATTTCTAAAAACAAGTAATAGAAACTAAAATGTCCAAAATAATCACTTTCAATATGTATTCCACCATTGGAAACCAAAATTTCAACATCAACTGCTCATAGAATCTAAACTACTGTACTCAATGATTTCGGCAGTGGTCCAGTTATATTGTTATCATCCACATAAAGTATTGTTAAATTAGGCAGATAACCAAGCTCAACTGGTAAGATCATCCGGCCTGTAAGCATTTTTTGTTAGTTTCAGACGGTAGGATGAATTCAGAAGAATATCAATATGACTCACAAGAGTTTCAAATTACTTATCTCCTTTGTTATGCTGCCATTGATATTCTCCACATAAAATTCCTGGTAAAAAATAGTAAGTAACAAGAACAAGTTATTGTCAATGTCAAAAGGGCTTGATCATGGACAAAATTGATTGAATGAAAACTTTATTTGATACAAAATATCCATATCCATCAAAACAATCGTTGGTGTTTGGTGTTAAAAAGACAACTTACAATATTGTCATAAAAGACAGTTCACCAAGCTCAGGAGCTAGTTCTCCAAACAGATTCAATTTTAACATCCGTCTACATCATGAGATGGATCAGAAGTTAAAGAACAGGAAATATTACGCCGGACATTACTGCAACAACAAAATTGAGTAACTGATTCTAACTCTTGGCATTAAACATAACATTAATCAAGTAACATATAGATCTTTATTTTATTTGAAGGAGAATGCGAATGGAAATAACCAAAAGGAGGGAAACTAGACATTGTGTTGTATCATGGAGACATACCTACTAGTGAGGAAATAAAAAAGGCAATATCAAGAAGCTATATAGAAATTAATCAGAATAACTGGAACACTGAATAGATAGTCATACAATTCTTCAACATGTGGATAACCATCACTTTGATCAATGTAGCAGATAACACCAGTCCAGTTGGATGTGCATGGATCATTGCTTTTTGTCCAATTAAGGTTATTGCTTGGATCTTGAAGCTTATCACGAATAGCTCTTAATGCTTTCACTGCAATTCAGGTTAAAAGTTCACTGTAAAGTAAGTCATCAAGCATGAATGGATTTGTAACCTGTAACTTGAATAATTTTTTCTTGTTTAACATAGAGTTAAAACTGGATCACATAAGAAGAATTCAAATCAAAGCAAAATCAACCTTCAGGAGGAAAAGTTATCTGTGCAGAAGCAAGAAGTGCTAAGCAACATATAGCCACAGCACGAATAACACCACGGATTGCTCTTGCCATCTTGATACTCAAATAAAAAACACAAACAAAAGCATTCTCATAAGTCTTCAGTATTGTCAAAAAAAAAAAAACAAAAAAAAGGGAAAAGAGAAAGAAAAAGTAGTTAATTCATCACAACCCATGGTTTAGAAAACCTTATGCTTCTTAATTATCATACAACAAACAAAAACCATGTCATTCTTTTGATTTTGATGTCCTTCATTGGAACCACAAGTAATTTAGAGTTTAAAAGCAAAAGTAGCAGTGTCAAGTAAAAAGAAGAACACATGGGAGTAATGGATGCAGTGGGAAAACCTAGAAGAATGATGAAAACACAACTTGATGTGTTCAAGAAAGGCTTGAAGCATTATGCAGGGAACCAAGGGGGTAACTAGTAGTTGCACTATTATATATGCAATAAGGCAAAACCATATGAAATGTCAGAAAATGGAAGATTAGTCACTACCAGTACTAAGGATTAGATAAAATAATGTTGTCCCAGTTGTGGATTTTGAAGATTTAGAATTGCGGTTTTTGTCTCCTAGGACTTGGTCTCTAAAACTTGGATGCTGGATGGTTGGCGCTTATGCAAGGTACCAAAAGTCCACCCACGTCTTTGAATTGCTTTGCTTGTGTTTTCTTTTTCAACTGACATGAACTAGGATAATTTTAGTTATTTGGTTCTCTTAACTGTCAGCTGACATGAGCTGAAATAATTTCACTTATTTAGTTCTCGAGTGCAACCAAGCTAGGCTGACTCTGGAGATTGGCTCTATGACTATACTGTGCTGAATGTTTCTCATGCTGTTTACTATCAAAGCCAGAGAAGGACTTTTAGCCACGAGAATATGACTCATTGTAACCTTTTAACAATAAAAACTCCAACTTGGAGAGGAGGACAAACCATGCCATGAACAAAACAAAATTTTATTCAAGTGAAATCTCATGTTGAGTATTAATCAATCCTTTTCAACCTGCCAGAAGCAAGCAAAAATTAAAAAATCTAATGTTTGGTTCTGGTTGGTTTGGAGGAGAAATAACCATATAAGCTGAAAATCTAGCCTGGAATTTGTCAACTGAGTATGACTGAAAAAGAACATGACGTTACAGAAATCTTCCAATCAAATTTATCAATTCAGCTATTAAGCAGACTGAGTCTTTACCAAATACGATAAAGCTAAAGAATTTTATAAATAATAGATAAAATTCAGATGCCTAATAGCTGAGCTGACCTTATATTAAAATGACATTTGACAACAAATTTCCTTGAATATGATAAATTCAAGGAGGGAAAGCAGGGTTTCAGTCTGAATTGGCAAAACAAAATTATTATTGAAGGCAGTGGAAAATGTCGCACTAGGTTGTTCTTTAAAATTGTATTAAACTCAGAGATGCATTTGCAGAAAATCCAGTGAGTAAAAGTATATGATGCCAACAAATCAATATCAATTGGTTTCCAAATTCGTGTTAATGAAATCTTCCTAAGTAACTACTACCTTGTAATGTTACTTGATCCACTAATGGTACAACCAAGTCAAACTGACGTTGTTGACCCAGTAAATACTACGGCATGGTACAACCATTTTCAAAAATCTGGGTTGGATGATATGTAGCGTAGCCTACCCCAAAAGGTTATAAGAAAATTAAGAAAGAGAAATCTGATTGATGAATGTTATCTTTTACGAATGGCAAAACACAGATCATGCCACTGCTTCTCTTTCATATTTTAATGGCAATACTAATTTACACCGTTCCATGGAACACTTTGTATATTTTGAACTGGTTTATACACAAATATTGCCTGTTGCCTGCAGTCTGGAATCTGTCATAAAGAAATTCTACTGAGAAACCATTTCATCAAGTTCCATATCTCATTGTACATCATCATATACTTTAAGGCTATTATATATGTCAAGACAGCAAGACAGTTAATGAAATTGAAGCAAGAACAGTGTCATTATTCATTACACAATACAATACAAGAAATTAAGCTATCTGTAACAGAGTTACAAACCAAGCAAACAGTCATATAAAATGAAATTGTTTGAAAGGACATTGCAAAATGCAACATAACAGAGTATTGATTATACAAAGCATTAATCAAAGTTCAAGTGGGCTAATGCCTGATGAAATGAAGGTAATAATATCATCACAAATCAAACCACATGAGATGAATCTCATTTGCTTTTTCCTCCTGCTCAGCTCGAGAGATTTGTTTTGACATTGTAAGAACTCCTACAAGGATCACAAGGTTATAAAAGCAATTAATTATATCAACATCCATGTCATGATATAAGAGCAAACAAAAGATCAATAGCCAAGGAGCAGCACTACGGAATAGGCGGGAGATGAGACAAATCAAGCAGAGTAACTAGTCGAGATATGAGCTAAAGATGATTTGCGCTAAGAAAACTTACTTGTGAAGGCTAGATTATTCATCTTCAGTTTCAGAAGTGTCTGTTAAGTGCTTTAAAATGTCAGTAAAATCCTCTTCTAGATCCAGGAATGGAAGGAGGATATCCTTAGTGGAAGGATTGTCCCACACCAGTGATTCCCAGCATTCTTTTGACTTCATGTAGATTTTTGTGAGAGAGGGAGGAGAACAAAGCACTCCATCGGGAAGCAGGGGCAGATGTAGAGGGATCCTCTTTACCTTTGGACATCCAGCTATTACAATTTCTTCTAGAGAATCACACCACATTACTCCTCTTGCAGTACAGATGCTCTTCAAATTTGATAAGCCCAGCAACAACAATTGCTTCAATTTGGGAAGAATGACAGTAATTGTTTCATTTTCTCCATCTGTCATGAGAGTTTCTTTCTCTTCTTCCACTTCTATTATTTCCTCCATTTTTGCGCAGCCAATGACATAAATACCCTTCAAGTTCTGGAGACCCTTCAACAACTCAGATGGAAACAGCTTCTTGATTCTTGGACATTTGTATATAAACAACTTCTTAAGATGGGAAAAGACAGAAGGCTGTGTTGGTGCACACGTTGTAGATGGAGCTGATGCTGCTTGCCCCTTCACTTTCACAAGTTCACGCAAGTTAGGCAATTTAACAAGCGTTAAAATTGAAAATCTATCAAAGGGACTGCACTCTGAGGACAGTGAGAACAACTCAAGTATGCACTCCAACTGGTCAAATTGCTTGATTTTAATTGATCTTAAATCTGATAATGCCTTAAATACAGATGCATCGTTTAAGCTTTTCAAGCGGCAGCACTTTTTAATCTTCAAAATCTGAAGGTCATCCGGAGGCAATACAGGGTAATCTTCATTGATTTCCATTCCATTTAAATTTAGCATCTTAGAGCAATCATCATCACCCAATTCAAAAGCATAATCAAAAGCAGAATCAAAATCAGAATCGGAAGAATCATTATCATCGTCATCAGTTGCTTCCACACTAAGCTTATAGCTAGTAAGCTTTTGACCTTGAAAAGAGCTGACAAAATTGTTGAAGTCTTTTAGGTCATCAAATCCCTTGTGAAGTGAAGGATTAACGGATGGCTTTAACAAGGGAAGGAAGATATCCTTAGCAGAAGGATTGTCCCATAACAGCAATTCCCACCATTCTTCAGACTCTATGCAGATTTCTTGAAGTGAAGAAGGCAGAGAGAGCTCACCGTTGGGAAGCAGGGGCAGATATAAAGGGATCCTATTTAGCATAGGACAGTCATATATTTCAATACTTTGAAGAGAATCACAAACCATTACTCCTCTTGTAGTACAGATGCTCTTCAATTTTGGTAATTCCTTTAATCTCAACTTTCTTAAATTTGGAAGATCTAATCTGATGGTTTCATTGTTTGCCACTGTTGTGATAGTTTCTTTTTCGTCTTCCACTTCTATTATTTCCTCCACCCTTTGGCAATCTTCAACATCAATCTCCTCCAAGTTTTGGAGACCTTGCAGCAGTTCAAATGGAAACAGCTTCTTGATTCTTGGACAGCTTCCTATTTTAAAAAATTTAAGGTTGGAAAATATTGAAGAAGGTGTTGGTCTTGGTGCCCGTGATGTCGAGGGAGCCGATGCTGCTTGAGCTTCCACTTTCACAAGTACTTGCAAGTTACACAAATCATTGAGCCATAGAATTTCAAGCTTATCAAATGAGCTGCAGACTGAGGACCATGAGAACAAGTCAAGCATGCACTCTAATCCTTCACAATTATCGATCTCACAATATCTTAAATCTGTAGCTGTATTGAACAAAGAAGTCTCACTTAAGGTTTTCACATCGCTGCACTCTGTAATCTTCAAAAGTTGAAAATCATTTAGAAGCAATACAGAATAATCTCTTCCAATTTCCACTCCATTTAAAGCAATAATCTTTGTGCATTCCACACCTGCGTGCAATTCATAGTAATCTTCTCCCCTTTGAAATTCATCTACTGTCATCTGATGCTCAAAAGCGTCATACGTATCATCAGTTGATCCCACCACCAGCCAGTACCTAGGGAACTTTTGATCCTCATGGAAAGACTTTACAAAGTTGTTAAGGACTTGTAGGTCATCAAATTGACCTATAAAAGTCTCCAACACCTTCAGCCTGATCACCTTTTCTGCTTTTATTACAAAACTAGCAGGTTTCAAAGACACTGCAAGAAACTGGACATGAGTGAGGTTACAGAGTATTTTTATTGGTAGATCTACCAGATTTGGACAATCTAGATCAAGATGTTGAAGATTCACCAACACTTCCATGCCTTCTGGGACCTGCAGAATCCCTGCCTTACATAGATCCAACTTCTTCAATGCCTTTAACTTTACTAACGAAGGCATGTACCTTAAATTATAACAAAAATCAAACCGTAATACAATGAGATTTTCTAAGATGGAAATGGAATCAGTTAAAGCTTCAATAGTGGTCTTTGAGAGAGTTAGAAACTTGAGGCCAATCATGCGTGCAAAAAAAGAATCTGGAATCTGGGTCAAACCATAATTCGACGACAAGTCCAAGCCTGACAGTTTTGGACAGTTTGGAGACATACTAGAAGCAAAATCTGTTATTCTATTTGCACTGAGCCAAACCTTCTCAAGGTTTTCCGTCCATTCATTTGCTTCTGGTGCCTCTCTTAGCCGCAAACCAGCTTTTGCCATAAATTTAGGACCAGCAATTTGCAATGCCATTTCTCTCATCACATCATGCATTCTTATATGATAATCTGAGTACTCCACTCTCTCTATCAAGCATTTATTTATCAGACTTTTTAAATTAAAATTGGCTCTGTCATGCATTGCTTTTCTAGTCTCCAACTGTTCAATCAGCCCATTGTCAATCCAATCTTCAATTAATTTATATCTCTCAATGCTCCCATCTTTAGGATATAGGGAACAATGGAGGAAACAATCCTGAAGTTCTGGATTATTCAAACGATCATAACTAAATTTCAACCGTTGAAATATTTCATCATCCCAATCATTCACCCTCTTTACACGGTTCTGTAATTCAAACAGAGCATTTCTCCACACAGAAATATCATTTTCTCCCCTCATGCTCTTAGCTATTACAACGATAGCTAGAGGTAAACCTGCGCACTCTGCCACCACAAATTTCAAGGTCTCTTCTAAATTTGGACTTTTCATAAGAGTATCATCTCCCACCGTATCTAGGAATAAGTTCAAAGATTCTCTCTCTGAAAGTTGTTGCATCCTAATAACTTGCTCACAACCAATATAATTGCACAGCTCAACGGATCTGCTTGTAATAACTACTTTGCACCCATTTTGCTGTGTTGGTTTCGGGATTCCAACATCCTCAAAAGAAAACCTTCCCCAGGCATCATCCAAAATCAAGACAAATCTCACTCTGCTCAAAACCTCTGATAATGTAGCTGCACGCTGGTCTTTGGTCACATTTTCTGGAAAATTTTGCTCCATGTTGCTTGCAATGTTATCTTGCAATTTGACAACACTAACTGGATATGGTACAGGGGCCCAAATGACTTTATCAAAATTTGGCCCATTTAACAAGTCGTTGTGGATGTTCTTCAGAAGAGTTGTTTTCCCAATTCCACCAGGCCCACAAACTCCAATCATTCCAACTGCATCACCCATCAAGTATCCCCGGATTTGTTCCTTCACATCGGTCCGACCTCTTGCATCCTCAGTTGGCAATGTCATTCCTCTACCTGGAGGTTGATCAATTGCAATATCATCAGGGAAGCTTCCTTGTTGAAGCATAAGTTCTTTTACTTCCTCAATTTTCTTGTCAACACGTTTTCCAAGAGACCCACGACGGAGGTATGAAACATTTTGAAAGTTCTCTTCAAGAACTTGAACTTCATTGTTGATGGTTTGTACCTTTTCAAGCCATCTTATCACTTCTCTCCTCACCACCTTTCTCGGGCAAGCCTCTGCATTTTGTTTTCTTAAATTTATATCTTCCAGTAGGTCGTTTAGATCTCCCAACACCCTACTCAATTCTTCCACATTTTCCTGAAGTTTTATGTGACATTCCAGATGCCCGTATACTGAAGTCATTAAGGGCTTCAGCAATTCGATGATTGGTCCCAAGAGATCGATGATTGGCCCCAGGCGATCGATGATTGGCCCCAAGTGATCCATTAAGAAAGTTCCTGAAATAATGAAATAATTAAGAACTCAATCATTATACCAAAACAAAAACAAGTATGAAGTTAAT